GCTGCGGTGTTAACCAAACAAGATCTCATCAAGAGCAGGCTCCGCAAGATAATTTATCTTTTCGCTACCCATTCCGTACAAAGCCAGTTTCGTTGTGTTGAACAGCCTTCCACTCTTTGAACAGAGATGACCACAATCACGCTCCCAACAAGTCGACCATCGTCAAAGAAACGATGAGAATGACACTGAAAAGGACGTTGTGGCCAATCCACACATCGCAGCCCTAAGTCTATACATTGAACGAAGAACTACACGAAGAAAGCACCGATTATCAGTGCATACCCCATGTGAATTAGTTATCGTTTATGGTGTAATGAATATGTCCTTGTTAACACTTTTTAGGCCCCGGCTGAAATTGTGGCGGAAATACCAACATTTTCGAGCCTGAAAGGGGCACTGACACATCAAAATCATTTTTTTTTATTATCCGAAACGATTGAAAACGATGCCAGGACATTACCCTCAAAATTTGAAACTTGGGAATTCAGCATTTGTGAATTAAAAAAACAATTTCCAAATGCCGAATTGAAAGTTCCCGCACGATCCGCGCCAGTGCAGCGAGTCAAATTTTGTGGTCTCCTGCGACTCGATTTTCTTTCGGATCTCCGCTCCACGCTACGAAGCAAAGCGCCGTTGCCATTGCGACCTGAAGCGAGGAGGAGGTGAGCAGGCGGGATAGAAGGGCGCCGGCGTGGGAAAAAAACGGTTTCTTCCCCAACTCGCCGATCACCCTCTGCTCGAGCGCCGCCGAGTTTTCAGAGGGAAGATACAAATCCAGGAAGCAACATCTCACCGAACTCCGATTTTTGGTATTTCAAAAAAAGGGGCCGTAGTGTGTTTGCAATTTCGTTAAAAAAACGTTTTACGATTGCTGTTATTAAATGTTATAGAAATGTCGCCTAGAAAGCTTCTAAATTTGCTGATTTTTGATGTCACCGATCAAAAGAAGCAAGGAGGTGAGCGGCGGGAGATATAAATGCGAAAAAAGGCGCGTGCGTGCACGGCAAAATTTTTTTTTGCAACAAGTTCTTTTTTGTGTGTCTACGACTACCACTTGCATCGTATTAGACAATAAAAAAAATATGACCTTTGGGGTATCAGTGCCCCTTGAAGGACACTTTGTACCGGGAAAGAAGTCGTCACTATACTCTGTTTCACCTTATGATGTACTGCAAGAAAGGTTACAAGCGCGAGCTCCTTGCTCTAGGGCACATCTTGGCGGCACAAGCTCTCATGCATTAAGGGCAGCTGCCAATGCTGCGAGCTCACGCTTCTAGCCTTCACTGCGGTACAACATAAGTTGAAACGGAGTATAGCCACTGCATCCTATGACAGCCGATGACGCACAACTGAGCACACTGTACCAGCAAACTGAAGACGGTCGTCCGTTCCTTGCCATCGACGATAGCAGCATACCTGGTTCACGCATCTTGGGGTTTGCTTCTCACGAGGCTTTGCTGTGCTTATCTTCAGCAAAGCTCATATTTGCGGATGAGACGTTTTTTGTGGTACCGAAAATATTTGATCAGCTTTTGACTGTCCAAGTCAAGGAGGACGGTATGCACTGGCCCACGGTGTATCTCTTGCTGCAGGGAAGGTCCCGAGACACTTACATGCGAGTGTTTCAGAACCTAAGGAATGTGTTTACTAGTGTGGGTATTGTATACCCATGCCCTGAAGAGTTCCCGACAGATTTCGAGCAAGCATTGATTGCAGGACTGCAGGTAGCGTTTCCTGCGACAGCCCACTAAGGGTGCCATTTTCAATTCCCTCAACGTGTGGGCTGCTTTCATTTCACTCAACGTGTGCGGGCTGCTATACAAAGAGCCGGTCTGCAGACAGATTATGCTCAGAATAGCGCTGCAAGATCACTCATACAGAAGTTGGTGGCGCTGACATTCGCACCAGTAAGTGATGTTCCACGTGCTTGGGCGCACCTACGTCTAGAAGGGACTTCTCCCGGTGGCGCCGGCATTGTGAACGTGTTTTATTACTTTCACAGTATGTGAATAAATGGTAACTTTGCTCTCCAGCAATAGAACCAGAATGGCAACAGGGGTTCACGGATTAACAACATTGAATCATGGCACAGAAAAATTAACACCATGACAGTGGCGTACCAACTTGTTTTTGAGTGGGGAGGCAAACCAGACCCCCCCCCCCCCCCCCCTTCCCAGGGCCGGGATGGCGGTGCTCTTTGTGTCCCTTGAGCGCCGCCGGCCAGTGTTTGCCCTGCCCAGTGGCGGCCGTTTCAGGGGGGGCAAAACACATGCCTTGCCCTTCCCACTCTGAGAAAGGGGAAAAGGGGGGGGGGCAAGCGCACCCCCCCCCCCCCCCCCCCCCCCGGGTGGTACGCCCATGCACCATGACCAGAAGGGCACACCCCAACATTTATTCCTTTGATGAGGCATTGACCAGGATCTCCCTGCAGCAACTGGCAAATGGCGGAGCAGCGCGTGGCCAAGGCCAGAAGTGGGTGAACCAAGACTGGAAACTTTGTGAGCTGGAGGGCCAGCTTGCCAATGGCCTTTGTAACTTTCTAAGGTGGGCGAAGGCATTCTCTGGCCTTTGAATGGTCAGTGTTTTGTTGCTGCGCTCATAAAGCTTTACTGAACATGGGATCGCATTGAGGTGCTACAACTCATTCTGCAGCCAAAAATGTTTTGAATTTTGCATCTCGAGAAGAGCCGCTCAGCAGCCTAGCGGTTAGCCATTCAGTTTGAATGACATAATCCTTTGCGAATTGCTTGCAACGTGACAGTATGGAAAACAAAATATTTCTGTGAACATATTTCATTTTCGAATGCAATGAATGCTATGCAAAAGGGTTAAAATGGTCCATGTGGGGTGGGCACAGGATCGTTTGCCGCTCCCTGCTGGTGGTGCTCTTGAGTGGTGGCGGCGGCGCTTTGCGAGAGACAAGGTGCACAGTAGGGCGAGAGACCCACCGCAGCCGCTGCTCTGTGATGCTGCAGGTGCGGGCGGTAAGCGATTGCAGTTAGCTTGGAGTGGAACATGACATTAAAGGGAAGATGGGGCACTTCTGCATTTGAGAAAAAAAACATTTGAATTGCGTTCACTTAAGCTTTAGAAAAACATACCAGCCGCCTCGGTGGCTCCGAGGCGAGAGCGCCGGCCTACGGATCCCCAGGTGGCGGGTTCGAATCCCGACCGAGGTGCCCGCAATATGACGGAGGCTTATTGCGGAGAAGGCACCGTGTAACCGAGCTTTCGGTTGCACGTCAAAAGATCCCCAGGTGGTCGAAATTAATCCTCAGTCCTTCGCTGGGGAGTGCCAGATGCCCGTCGTAGGTTTGGCACGTAAAACCCCCAAATTTGATTAGAAAAACATACCCCAATTATGTTTCAATGTGACGCGCTGGAGAGCCACAAGAGCAATTTCAAAATAGGGCTGAAGCCCCGCCTCCCTAGCCTTGGGCAGCCAAAAGATCCGTTGATGACGTTATGTACAGCGACAGTCTTTAGAGGTTTCTTGCGTTTAACAATACTTGCGCAGCAAGTGGTTTGGGTATTTGGGTTCACGGGGTAAAAATACACTAGAATTCACTTCTAACTCATTTTTTTTGTTCAAGAACCTCCGTAGCTTCCCTTTAAGTGCTCTCATCGGTGCACACTGGCACAGGTAGGCCACGAAAATGGATCGACGAACATGTTTGAATTGTAATATATACAATGGCGACTCTGGTGCGATTTTTGTTTGTTTGTGTGCTTGTTTTGTTGTAGATCTGGCTATATTTTTGCTCATATAAAAATTGCTATGGAATAGCTGGCACTGTTATCAACTATGCCAACATTGCCATTATTTTTATTCATTTATCAATGCAGAAAGAGATTGGTTGAAATGCCAAGAGCACTCTAAAAGGATGACAATCCTTTTTTTAGTGCAAACACTTGCAATAATTCTCATTGCCAGCTCAATTCTGCCCTCTCAGAAGACACACTCCTTCCTCGTGTGCAATTGTTTTCTTTTAGAGAGCAGCTCTTAGGCGCCCGTTTCCGGGTTGAGCGGCGTTGGCGTCGCCGTAACCGAAAATTGACGTCATGTGACTTCAACACCAATTCAATTCCTCGCTAAATTTAGTGGGGAATTGAATTTGTGTTGAGATCACACAATGTCAATTTTCCCGCTAAATTTAGCGGAGAAACTGAATTTGCTCATAGGTGACGTGCCATTAGTAAGCCATGCAACGTCATTTTCTCCGCTAAATTTAGCGGGGCAACTGAATTGGAGAAGCAGGAGAGGAGGAGGGGTATACCCTCCCCTGCTCAAAAGCTGTGCTCTAAATTTCGCATTACAGAGATTTGTGAACGTCTTTCCTTTTTTTTTAGTTTTTTGTAACCTTTCTCTTTTCCAGACTGGCCTGGCCTTTTTGTGGCAGAAACTCCGACTGCACAAACAGTGTGTGCAAGGCAACTACCGTAAAATCCCAAGATAACCCAAGAGAAAATTTGGCGAAAATGAGGAGTAGGCTAACTTTCGGTGTTTTAACCAAGAAAGTTTATCGTGGCGAGGGGCAATGAAGCAAAGATGACTGTACTTCCCAGTCAGCAATATTCGCTTATATCCCGCCATAGCTAACTAGACGTTTACGCCAAGGTCATAATTAGTCTGAACACTATGATTACTAGGAGTGGACTCTCTTTCGATGTTTAAAAGAAAATAGCAAATAAGCCAAAAACAGGGGTGAGTTATTTTTCGGAGGTGGGGCATCTCTCGGGATTTTACGGCAAGTAACTCAAAGCAGCAATATCAGTTTGCCTATCAATAAGGTGCGCTCTTGTCATTGTAACATTTTGGCCAGCACAGTACAACTGTTAATAAGGGGTGACACTGGTAGTCGATTCTCAAGCCGATGCCAATACAATTCCTGTCCGTGTCGAAAACTGCCAGAATTGGGAATCCGTTCACACGAGCCTCCACCTTGAACATTACTACCCGCAAGTTTTCTTCGAAAGTTTCAGACAAGCACAGAAACAAAATCGGGCACACCCGGGAACTTTTATTAGGAAATTACCCGCTTGTCATAAACTTGTATTTCCATTAAAAAAAAACACTAAAAAGGGCAAAAACTAAAAGGACATTAAAATCAATAAACGTAAGAAATACAATAATCTCATATACACAATGGTGCAAAACATATACGAGAGTTGCTCAGGATTCACTTGATTCAGGATCACTTGTGTCCGACTGATCTTTTCGGGGAGATAAGGAGCAAGAAATAGAGCCCCATCCTTTGTCCTCGTCATCAGTGATCAGTTCATCATCCGTGTCATCAAGTGCTGCAGGTTTAGGTGAGGTTGCACCATGCGACATGCTCTCGTCATCAGAAAGTATTCGGTTTGCACGACAGCGATTGCGTACAGCTGCCACACCATCTTCCGACACAAGAGAAGATTCCTCTTCCTCTAAGCCTTCGTCCACCGAGCCGCCAGATTCCCCTTCATCGGAAGATGACAGTGCATGCACAGAGCGTTCTAGCAGCTTCGAGTATGGTGCATCCAGAGGACCTCCCCCAATGCCAGTTTCCTCTTCATCCGAGGAAGAGATTTCATGTACCGATTGAGAATGCAGTGCTGAGCTTCGGCGGTTTTGGGAGACTTTCTTTGGACTTTCTACGGGTGAAAGCTCCCTAGACTGAGCCAAAGCCTTCTGGAAGGGGCTGGCCGTTTGTTTCAGCATCGAGCTGCGCCTCTGTCGTCGTGGCGAGCCCAGAAGCAGTGGAGTGATCCGCTTGGATGGCGTTGTCGAGGGAGAACTGCCCGGGAAAACCACTTGGTTTTGGCACTCCACTGGCAGCTTCAAAGACAAGGGAGTGCTGACCAGAGGAGACGATTTGAACTTAGGCGACCAGGAACTCTGCTTGCTGCTAGGACTGGCCTGCTCAGCAGACGGTGAAAGCAAAAGATGTTTTGGTCCGGATGGCACTGGAGAAAACACTGGGGAGTCTCGCAGCCTCTTTTTCAGCTGCCGCTTCTCTTCAACGGATGGTAAAGCATTGAAGGTGCACTTTACCGCAGAATCTTTCTTCTGATCCTCTCCGAAGAACAGGTGCCTCCGGACATTGTCTGCCATTGCTTGGCCAGAAGTATTGGATTCTGTAGGACTCTCTTGCTTCACACCCTTGGCGGATGAAGGTGTAAGGGAAACGAAACTTGTGTTGTCTAGAGAGCTGTTAGCACTACTAAAAAATTCTTTCTTTGGCACCAGCCCAGCACTGTTGGAAGAATGGTCTATGAAAGAGAGATCCGTTTTAAGCAACAGCCGGGGAGTCTTCACCTCACTATCCCCTTTCCTGCTTTCCATTGCATTTCGTAAAGGGCTGAAGAACGAACCTCCTTTTGATGCAATCTTGCAGTCAGCTGCAGTGCGACCAGAGCTTTCTTGCTCTTCCTTCATTTTCAAGACCGACATTCTAAGTGGCGACCTAACATTTTTCTCATCTTCTGGCTCAGACTTCCAAGCAGTGGCTGTCCCGCAGGCTAGTTTCTGCTCAACTTTGATGTCAGCCTTGATGTCCTTAATCTCTGAATAGTCAACTGTGCACGGTTTAGCATCAAGTTCCTCATCATCAGAATCTATGACAATGGAATCACTTTGGACGTTTTCTTCAGGGAACAGTTCCTCATCAGACTCCTCAACAAGAATGCTGGCGCTCTGGTTGGAGCTGTGCACAGTCAGGTTTGCCAAGGACTTGTTGATTGAGTGGAGGCTATCAATGTCGATGGGCTCATCGAGCTCATCCAGGTCGATGGTAACATTGCCGACTCCCTTTGTGTCTGCGCTGTCTTCATCCGGCACAACAATGGGGAACAAGTTGGGCGTTGGCTGGTAGGGGACTGGCTGACGGGTCTTGACAGTGATGTTCAGGGGAACAGTGTAGCTCTCCTTGTTCTGGATCTCACCCATTACGAAGTCTGCCTCCGACGTAACCATACGATGTGCAATTTCCACACGCATTCTGACATGCTCCTTCTCACCATCAACATATTCTTCTGGGCCATCCACTGCTGTTTCTTCCGAAAACATGAGATCGTGATGGCTGACTCCAAAGACGTTCCGACGCTCTATGAATTCGATGTGGACATCCAGTCCATGATCCGTCCTTTTGTGGTGAGAGTGCATCTCGGCAAGCTGGACCTGTGTGGCAGAGTGGGAGGGATCTTCCAGTGTGAAAAGTTCCCTCAACTCTTGCTTGGTGAAGTAGCGCACTGGGTCCCGTTGCTTGCCGGTCGTCTGCTTGATGATGGAGTCCTTGAAGATCTGCCGTCGGTATATCTTCTCCTCGACTGTGCTGCAAGTGACCAGGCGGTACACGACGACATTCTTGCTCTGTCCAATCCGGTAGGCCCTGTCCACGGCCTGCGCATCTGTGGCTGGATTCCAGCTGGGGTCGTATATGACCACCCTGTCAGCTGAGGTAAGTGTCAGCCCCACTCCACCAACTTGCGTTGTCAGCAGGAAAATGTCGGCCAATGACCTAGTCTGAAACTGCGTCACCAGGCGATCACGCTCACAGAGTTTTGTGATCGTGCCATCGAGGCGGGTGACCCTGAAGCCGCGGTTGAGGAGTATCCTTTGGATGATGTCCAGAATCTTTCTGGACTGGGAGAAGAAAAGAGTGCGATGGCCTTCGGATTTGAGATTCAGAAGAAGCTCCAAGACAAAGGTCATCTTCCCGGATTCAGCGAGCAGTGTGTCATCAGGGACATCACTGATTGTCATTGAATTGCCCTCCTCTTTGTCAAGAAACTCTTCTATCTGATCTTGTGTCATATCATCATACATCCCCATTTGAACACAGGCCCGCTTTGACAGAAGTCTCGGGTGGTCGCAAATTTTTTTAAGAATTGTCAGCTGCACAAGGGGAGACTTCTTCGTCATCAGGATGTTAGCCACTTCCTCAGACTCCAGAAACTCCCGGTAGATTTTTTTTTGCACTTCTGACAAGTAGACCCAGACCACCAGATCATTCTTCTTTGCAGTGAAACACAACTTTGGCCTTAGGGAATCAGTCTCTTGCTCTGTGTTCTCTTTGTTTTCTAAAACTTCTGCTTTTGTCCTTCTCAGAAAGAATGGGCTGATCTTCTCCATGAGGTTCTTCGAAATCTCTATGCCCAGCAGCCGCTCTCCCGCCGTGGCGTCCTTTTCCCGGGAGCGATTAATGTGCGTCTCGTACTGCGACTTGAACGTGGCGAGAGACCCCAGAAGAGTGCCCTGGTGAGCGAAGTTGTACAAAGCCCAGAGCTCTCGTAGGTTGTTCTGGATGGCTGTTCCCGTAAGCACTAGCCTGTGCTTGGCTGGCAGCTCGTAGACAGCCTTGGTGGTCTTGGTAGGGTTCTTGATCTTGTGGCCCTCATCAAGGATAAGGTAGCACCATACAAACTTGCGGCCTCCCTGAGCAGACAAGATCTCCGCGCTCGTCTGAACCATGCCATAGCTTGTTAACAACACGCCACCTCTGTTTTGGACTCGTGCGAGACTTCGCTCTTTCTCCTTCTTGGTGCTGCTGTGGTAGTCAAACACACGGATGCCCGGAGCCCACGCTTGAAACTCCTTCTTCCAATTCGGAATGAGAGACACGGGCATGATAAGCAGCACTGACTTGATCAGGTCAGCGTCAAACATGCCGGAGAGAAACGCAATAACTTGGACCGTCTTACCGAGGCCCATGTCGTCACCCAAGACACCTCCTCGCTTCTTGAGATACAGCCCCCACATCCATAGCAGGCCCTCCCTCTGGTATGCATAGAGTTTCTTCTCGATGCCCTCGTAGACATAGAATTCATTGCCAATTTCAACCATGCCATTGGCCTCTTCCTCTTGGTCGTCGTTTGTCTCCAGGTACTCCTTTATTTTAAGTATTTTCGCAGCAAGCCTGTCGTCTGGACAGACTTTGCAGGCCTTCTCAAAGGCCACGAGAGCTCCTTGGAAATCTCCATCCTTGAGAAGCCTTTTACCTGGGGGAAAACAATAAAGAAGACAAGGTCATGCACTTGAAGAATACGGGCAAGCAAGGAATGCAGACACTTCCTGTTATCTGACATGTCCAACTTATGACAGAACTTTTCAGGCACCAACTTTTCTTCTAGTTAAAATATGCATTTATAACATTTCTTTGAACGAGGCAACAAAATATGCGCTTTTACAATCTCGGGTAAAATACCTGCCTGCGGATTCCCATGTGATTGGGTTTGATCCCAGCCAAAATGACATTTCTCATGTCTAAAGTGATAAAGAGCTCATAAACAGTGATGTGATTGGTCGGAGTCATTTTTGTGCACCTTTTGGAACAGCTGAAAGTTCATTTTGGAGCAGCAAAAATAACTTTGGTAGCATAAAGGGCTGTCTGAATAGGAAAATAGGACACTTCAAGCAAGCATGAAGTGACGGTTCTCCACCATTTCAAGTGCGGCGATCCGCTTCACTCAGGCTCTTTCGCTAGAGGGAGTGCTTCCCTCTGTCACATCTGCTTGTGTCCTTCACTAGGGCATGCTCATCACGTGGGTCCGGACAGCCAATTACACATTCTGTTGGCTGTCAGTCAATCGCTCAAGACCACCATTGCTGTTCAAGTCCCGAAAATGGAAAAGGGAAGGATGCGAGGGCGCGGCAGGAGAAATTGACAGGCAACAAGCACATTATTGGCATGTGGCGCGTGACATCAAGTCTGACGACCACCAAAGTCACAGAGAAGCAGATAGGGCAAGGAGGAAAGCCATGATGTTTGCCTGGTGAATGTGCAAACAGAAGACGGACTGCCGGACTTCAACTTGCACTTTATATGGCGGAAAAGTGTCGCCTCGTGCATTCTGAAGTATCCTGTTTGGACATCCTAAAGGGTAACTGCAAAGAAAAAAGTTTTTTAACCGCGTAATTTGGACAAGCATGTCAAAAAACAATTTTTCCACAAGAAAAAAAAAAAAATATTTACAGCAATATTTATTGCGCAAGACTGATTGTAGTTTGCGGCTATTTCGTCCATTTTAAATTGTGCGCCACAAAGTTGATGTTCCGTGACGTTTAGCACCGATTGGCTGCTATACTTCTCATTGGCTAAGAGATTGATTGACAGCTTAGACCTTGATTGTTAAACCTTTGTTATATGTTGTAATTGCCTTTTGAGCGGCATATTTTTATGTTTAAAGAATAACCCATGTGATGAGTTATTATTCTTTACAAAAGGTTTACAAGACGGGCACTTCCGTTTGGATTCATACTATAATAGTCAAAAGCTTCGCCATTCTTTCATGGCCGCCGAAGTCTCTGCTACTGCCTGTCTCGCCTACCTCGACTAGTCGTTTCGCCGAAGTGATCAGTGTTTTGTGCTGACCCAGGTGCTTAAGTGAGACTTCTTGAAATGAAGTAGTGCGTGTTTAGCAGCTGTCGCAGGTGTTAGTGATAGGAGGCGATGCGGGGTTTTGGCTTTCATAGCGCAGTCCTTTTGTTTTCCTCTTTGCTTGCTTAGCATTTTTTTTTGTTGCTTGGCTTGCGCATGCAAATGCTGACTTTTCGGAGATGTCAGATGAGTGATCCCGACAGCGAGCCTTCCAGCAGCCATATCGCCCCAAAAGGAATGCTATTTGGCTGGAAGCAATCGGGCGTTCGCATAGCGACAAACGTGTCCAGTTACGTTCTCGTCATATCGCTCCGGAGGCCGTCGAGATTCGCACCGGGTGCACCGAACGTCCGCGACTAGACACAGCTGTTACGTAAAACACCTGGCACAGCGAGGTTATAACGTAATAGCTGTCCGGCAGAAGCCTTCAGACGTCCAAATTCTGCGTTAGCCGACAGATTTTTTTTTTTCTCGGCTTCCAAACCATTTTACGTAAAGTTGTTTGAATGAATGTGTGCTGTTATCGTAAAACTTGGCTTGTGATTGCGGCTTTGTAGATTATCTTATTTGTCTTGTTGGAGAGACGCAAACAATAGGCTTAACGAAATCAGTCGCATATTCAGCATACCTTGCAAAGCACTTCCCCAGTCACCTTGCAAAAAGCGCAAAACACCTGCTTTAGAGCAGTTTGTACCTGCTGGCCACTGGTAGGTATGACTACTGAAACTGCAACTTGAAACTAGGGGCAGTGCCAGAGAGCAAAGAGACGAAGTTCGGAAAGCATGCTCGCCCTTCCCCAATTTCTGAACTCTCAAGTGATTGTACCGTAATAAATGCACAACGCCTTTTTCCAAAATAATAAAAAAAAAAGCACTATGTTCACTACGTAAAAAATGGTCTCAGTTCATGCATCTGTGGGCAGGTAGGAAATCTTGCCCAAATTTATTCACACCGCACAATGAGCGCAACACGTCGCTGTGCAAACACAGTCCAACAACACTAAGCATAAAAACGGCAGATTTAGAGGACAACGATTCGGAGTCCATTGTTCAATTAAGATGACACAATTTTGTAGAAAACGCCCGCAGCTTTCTACTCACGGTATGCGTCGGGAATCTTCCACATTTTGAAACGAAACGAAGGAAGATTTACTTTTAAAAACGCTCGCTGTGTCCTCCCAGACCAGTTTGAGTAAACCACCTGACGACGACGGGACTGAACCCGTTGAACCCCAACCCCACAACAACCAATTTGCGCTCCATGTTAGTGTGGGTGTTTACTTCCAAGCACCACACCACACACACCACGCACGTTTCAGTTCTTCGTCGCATCGCCGTGTTGCACCAAACAGAACGAGATCGCCGAAGTCAACGCAGCGCTGTCGTGAACGTTGACTTGCTTCATTGTCTTGTGACAATGATCCCTAGTATTCGGCGTGCCAGGGTGCTGGCTGTGGCTGCGAAGGATGATGCAATGTTGAAGAGCCTTGTGTCCACGCACACTTGGAGTGAGGAGGTGGAAAGGGCAGAGAAATATGTAAAGTTTAAAAATATATCTATAGAGACAAGGAATCAAGAACGCTACTTTTGGCGAGGCCAGTTGTTGAAAATGGTGGATACTAAGGGGTTGGCGGAAGTATGTTCGTGCGTGGTAGCGTCCTTTGTTTGTAACCCTCCGCTGTTTCTGACTGGAAGAGAGCATGTGGATCTAATCAAACTTAGAGCCCATGCGCTCCCGACCAAGACGAGATGTGCGAGGGGCCGGGCAAAAGATACACGCTGCAGGGCTGGTTGTCTCTTTTCCGAGACACATACACATGTTGTCCACGTATGCCCAAGAACCTATGTGCCGAGACTGGAGCGACGTAATTGTGCTGCGAATTGGGTGGCGGAAAAGGCTAGTGTTTAAGGGATGGATTGTCACGGAGGAGCTGAGGGTGGTTGCTGGAGATGAAGTGAGATATCAAGATTTAGTTTTAGTAAAAGGTGGTAAAGCTTCGGTTGTAGATATTTAAGTGGTAGGTGAATATAAATCATTAAACTCTTTAAATGAGGATAAGATTCGTAAATATCCTGGTGAAGCCTTTATTAAGGCTATTAAGTTGTCTTTCTCGGTGTCCTCGGTGAAGGTCCATGCCGTAACAGCAACTGAAAGAGAACTAGTTTGTCCACGTCTGCTGATTTTCTGTTATTCCTTAAGTTTTCAAAGCGGAATGTTTCATTCCTGACACTGTAGGTCCTATGTGGAACACTCAGTTGTTTTTATCATTTTATGCGTGGGAATAATCACAGTGATGTATTTGTGATGGACTTGAAGATTGCAAGAAATATGGACTTTAGATTTTATATAAAGATGTATGTATTTGTTAGTCATTGTATAATGATGAATTGAAGTGTGTTTTATGGTCTTTGTGTTGTGGGGAAATACACAGTGAGGGCATGATGCAGAGCCGTGTATACTTAAGGTTAAGCTTCCTCAAAAAGCAAATGTATTGAACTTGTTCAATAAACAGAATTGCACACTCGTGGACCCCGTGACTCCCTTCCCTTTCAAAGCACACACGACGATTACGAATGATACTTTCTGTCTTCCGGGAACATCACAGGGGCACTTCTTCGGTCACGTCTTCGCTATGTGCTCAGAAACCGCGCAGCTTCTCGCGTCCCGTCATCGTCAAACCAAAACAATACCGGCACCATGTTTAACGTATGTTGTTGCAGATCTTACAGGAAGTCGAGACACTGCGTCGTTCAACTCAGCAGCCAAGTCAACCCAAGAGCAAATCCAAAAGTGAGGGGCGGGGCGTACTTCTCCTCCGCGGGGGTCGAAAGAGCGGGAGTTTCGAATGTGGAGGGGTTCTGACTCCGACTAAATTAGGGATGCCGCGAACCACCCTAGGTTCAATTTCGAAAGGTTTCGATATTTTCAAACCGAACTGATGTTCGATTTTGAAAGGTTTTGATATTTTCGACCGTATGGAGATTCCAATTCGAAAAATTCACAACTTTCAAAAATCGTAGAGTTTCGAATTCGCAAAGTTCGAAGCTTTCACGGTTTCTAAAAGTTCGGATTCAATTATTTAGAATATTTTTTTACCTGAGGTTCAAGAAATTCAAATGTTTCGAATTTCTTTAGGTCTGAAATTCGAAAAATTCGGAAGTTTCAATTCTTATAGACATACCTCACAGCTTGAATCCAAATGAAACTGCCCACCAGTCTTTCGAAGTTCGATGAACTTCGAACTTTTACCCTAAAACATTGAAGTTCGTCGAACTTTTGACTTTCAGGAATTGAAAGTTCGACAATTTTAGAATTCTTTAGATTAAAAAGTTCAAAAGTTCGAAAATTATTAAATTTCTTAGCGTAGGAAGTTCGAAAGCTTCAAACTTTTTAGTGCAAAAAATTCGAAAGTTTGAAAATCATCAACTTTTTTAGTCTATCAAGTTAGAAAGTTCGACAAGCATCGAATTTTGCAGCGTAATAAGTTCGAAATTTTGAAAAGCATCGAACTTCTTAGTTTAACAAGTTCGAAAATTCAACTTCCGTCCAATTTCTCGATATGGGAAGTTTGAAAATTCGAAATCTTTCTAACCTTTCGAACCGCTTGATTCAATCATTGAA